GTATAGGGTTGCATTTTTTTCACATAAATTTTTATACCTGGCAGAGCCCATCTTTCTCTAGGTCAAATCATAGCTGAAGTCTTTCAATTTGAAGGCTTACCTTGATCATCCAACACACATCACACACAAAAACAAACCAACAAACACAAAAAAATGATAGTTTATATCTCTAGCAGGGCATTAGGGCAGATTACTTAAACTGTAACCAATGATAAGCCTACCAATATATAGGAAAACCTTTTGTGGTGCTAACTAATTATAAGCTATGGTTATAGATTAAATGCATTTTATTATAACTAACAAATTATGGGCTATATTTGGGCTGTTGGTATACTTAAAAACCATATTCCTATTTAGTTACTGACAAAGAATAGCTGATATGTAACGTGTAGAAATTAAATAGTTTACTGTCATAATCTTTTTTATATTAAACAAGATAAACAAAAATAAACTAAACATTTTATAACATGAAAACTGAAAAGATAATGTTGAAAATTCTTTGCCTTTTCTATTGAATTTGCTGAGGACGTGAACCTAAATCACTAACTTAAAAATGATTTAATAACATTTCTTTTGAAAATGGTCAGTATTAGCAATTCCAGAAAGTTTTGGTGTGTTCCTATGTTTGCTTTTAACACAGTTGAAGTAATTTCTTTTAACTTTACAGATTTTTTTTTCAAAACTTCTAAGTATCACTGAATGACAATGTTAACAGAGTAGCCTCCCTTGAATATTAAAACAAATGCCAACCATCTTTTTAATATTTGCAACAGCCGGCATTGGTTAACGGTTTGTTAATAATACGTACGTATGATTGTTTAAACTGTTGTAGTTGAGTTTTGAAAGACGTTGACTCGTTGAATCAGGCAAGATGAAAAATCAGGAGTTTTCATTTTTTTTTTCCAATTAAAGAAAAAAAAAACATACAAGGAAGACGGTGATTATTTTTTTTTATATAGCAGGCTAATGGTTGAATGAAGGGGGTGAAATATGATAAAGAAGAATTTTGTTTTCTTTTATTCTTTGAGTTGTTTGCCAGATAGAGTGTAATATTCGATTTTTAAATGTTTTACTAATTAAATTTACCTTCTGCTTACTTTTACTATTTTTAAAAAGCAAGCTGGAATATTGCTGCACTAAAATAAGGAAAACAAATACACCGAAGTTTTCACTTTCTTAGCTCTGCGCAAAGTAAAGATCCATTGTTACTACTATTATTAATATTACTCCTCTCCATTCAAGTAAATAATTTCTATTATTGAAAAATGTTTACTTATTTAGTTTAGTATTCTTTTTTTCACGTTGGAAATTGCAGCATGAATAAGTATTTGACCAAAGATAAATCTGAAATTTAATTTTTATTTATTTTTTTACCCTTCGAACGAAAGGACACATCACTTAGTTCTTGGCCTTAGAAATGGGATTTTTAAAAATAATTAATAATTATAGTCACTATTTAAAAAAAAAAAAGCGATATATTTAATATTCTTTTCTTATATACTTTTTCTTTTTTTTAAGAAGAAAAAAATCTAGTCTATTGTTTAAGAGCCACCTTCATGTTTTGCATTTTCCTCGTTTACATTTGTTAGCCTAGTTACATAAATAAATGAACTAAAAAAAAGTAAAAACTTTATTTTTCAGGAAAACAAGAAGAGAAAATAAGTTAATAATTTTAAAGTTAAAAAATATTAAATAGTTTTAAATGATACAATCTTTTATGCATGTTTAAACTAATTTTTCAGCACAAAACTTTTGTTTATTCTTGCGAGTTAAAAACATGCGACCAGATTGTTTATTTTTTTTCATGTATTTTTGTAATAATGTGTAGCTAGATTTATAAAAAAAAAAAAAAAATTTTACCGGTCTTCAAAAAAATAAATAAAAAGGTAATTATACACGAAAATTCTTAAAAACGTGCAAAATTAAAAATATCTTCAATGAAGTTGTTATGAATGTAAGCTTGCTAAGAAAAAAAAATAACCATTTTTTTTTTATGATTCTATGTTGAATGCAAATATATTGCCCCTTCAGGAATGTTTCGTCTTCTTTTAGTTGTAAATTTTAGAAAAGAATGAAATGATGTGCATACCACAAACTCTAAATTCAGTCACTTCAGTGTATCTGATTGCTAGTTACTAAAATTTACTAAAATAACCTCCACGAAAACGCTAAAAATCAGCATACTATGATGAAAGCATGCCCCCCAAAATGTAATAATGAAAACAGTTTTATGGTCAACTCAAAATCGTTATGTGAAGAGGAAGTATCAGAGTATCTTGGATTACCGAATTAAATTTTTTACTCGTTTTTAGAACATTCGAAACTTTGATTAAAAAAATTGTTTTTCTTGCGTCAGCGGTTGTACTAATTTTTAGATAGCAAATTTTAGCCTCTTTTTTGCGTTGGCAGACACATTAACTTGGAAATTCTTGTAAAAATCAAATAATTGTCGAATTTTAATGAAATTTTCAAGATTTATTCACAAATGAATGAAATTATTTTGGAAATTTTTTTATTAGAAAATCTTGTTAAAACATTTTCTTTACATGTTTCAGCTCCTTACTTAATTTTAAAACTCGATAAATTCAACGTGATAATTTTAGTGACTTAAAAAAACAGCATAATTCTTTGAAGAATTCAAATCTACGAATTACTTTTTTTTTTTTTTTTTTGCAAAATCGGACCTCCGTTTTACCGAAAATATGTTCTGAATCGAAAAATGATAAACCGAATTAAACTAAGACATTGTTTAATTACAGAAGATTTTAATTGCTTTTAAAGACAATTTTGTCTGAAGAAGAAAAAATTTTGACGAAAAATAAATTTTTACAAGATTTGTTTTCATTTTTGACAATTTTAAATTGAATAATTTATAAAGTTTTAAATCTTTTAAAATTCATTTTCAATGTGATAATCCATAGGAAATATTGTTATTAAGTAAAAAAAACTATATTTACTAATCATATATTGTAACGCTTGTTACAATCTGACAACCCCAAATACTTTTAAAAGAATTTTGATTTGTTTTTGTATGTGTGATTACATGCAGAATTTCTGAAGTAAGGATGTACAAACAGATAAATCATTAAAAGGTCACGTGTTTAAGAGTTGTCCTCCCCCGATAAAGTTTATCGTCTGCTCCACCATACTTAACTATGAACATGTTCTGCTATAAATAAATTGATTAACATGTCAGAAAAACAAGACCCTGTAGTTAAGAAATGTTTGTATACAATATTTTATGCTATAAGTGATATTTGTTTCAAATCAGATTAATTTAACTTTAAATTTGCTAATTTTCCTCAAATAATGTTTCAGAAATATATATTTTATTTTTGCAAGATTTTTAAAACCGAGAATTTTGTTTACAAATGTATAAAAAATGACAGATTTTTATCAATTTTACTGGAAAAAAATCGATTCAAATCAATATAATTTGTTTGAAACACACCAGAGTATTTTGCTTACTGGAAATAGTAAATTTTAAATCCTTCAGCATTCAAGTAAAACTAAAATGAAAGCTTCAAGAAAGCTTTTTCATTTCTAAAAATCCATTTTAAACCTTATGTATACTGAATTAGTGGAGGTACCTACACTAAAATAAGTTTTTATTTAGTCATACACAGCTCCAACATTCCAACAATGATTTGTCACTAGTAGTACAGTGTACTGTACAGATACTATACTGAATATTAAAAAAAAACAAAAAAACTTTAGTTTTGTCAATAATAACAACAACCCCTAGCTACTGTTTTTATTATTTGGTAGGGATTGACTTTGTTATATTTCATCATACAAATTAACCACTATGCTATACCAAAAAATGGAAAATAAAATAAAGGTTGCCTAACAAAATTTAACTATAGATTTTATTTTTATTATAGTTGTCATTGTCAGCCATCATAAATAATACTTGAAAAATCTTCCATAGAGTTGAATAAAAAATAGAAATAAACATTTATTTTCAATGATATTAGAATTTAATTTATGTAGATAGGTAGTTAAAAACGATTGTTTGTATCTCGTGTAGATCACACTACTTATCTTCTTTCAAAACACATTTACCCTCCCATGATATGTTATTATCTGTGGATTCATTTAACATTAACAATGTACTTATGTCCTGTTAAATTGCTTTCGCTATTCTTATAGTAGAAAATCTTTTATAAAGTAAATTGGTTTCATTGTACTTTCCCAAAATACACCGACTATTGTCACAAGTTGCCTTACCTGCCTGCTGATCTATTAATGATTCTTTTTGTAGTGGAAAACTTTTACTTGTTATTCAGTGATAACAAAATAAGACCTAAAACTTTTTACAAGCTTGGACCCATGACCAGTGTTAAGTCATGAAAATGTTTATTACTGCCCCCCACACACATCAGTAAGGAGTGAATAAAAGAATTAAACTAATTTTCAAGTATGGAATAACAAGGTGGTGATTAATATTTTTTTCTAGGAATACTGTCCTTTGAAGAAATTAATCCTGTTTTTACATCAAATGTATATAAATTTATAAATGGACAAGTTATTATTCCAAATAATAATTCTTTTTCTCTATCAAACTATATCACTTGATTTTTGTACCTAAATATTAAATAATAACATATCCTGAGGAATTTTCACATGTCCTTTTAGTTAAATGGAAAATGGATCTTTTTTTTCTCTGTGTGTGTGCATGTGTGATATATATATATATATATATATATATATATATATATATATATATATATATATATGTGTGTGTGTGATATGTGTGTGTATTTATATATGTATTTGTATATATAAATGTAAATATATATGTATTTATGTGTATGTGTGTGTTTATTTTATAATAAAACTGTTGATGCTTCAAAAATATATTTTTGCAATTATACAGTTCAAGCATTGACTTTGGAAAGAAATTAATAGAAAGTTGTTTTCTTTTTTCTATTTCTTTTACAGGCTCTATGAGAAGCCATGTCTAATCTAGAAGTGCAGTGTGTTATGAGGCAGTGGTGATGACTGCCCGATCGAGTGGCTCATCCACTCAGCCTGTAGCCCATTCTTTCTATGTTTGGGTGAAGGCAGAACCATTTAGTTATGGTACCTTATCAATCCCTCCACCACCAAGACTTTCCACCAATGTTAGTATATCTGCTTTCTTTTCTTTGTTATCTGAAGATGAGATAACTGAATATTATTCACTTTTAGTGATTTTACCATAAACATTTATTTTTCTTTCTATACTGTTAAACTTTTCATAAAATCACATAGCAATAATGGAGAAAACATCTCATTTGAATGCATAAATATTGCAATTTGTGCTATTTTAAAAGTATAAGTTGCATTAAAAAGCCTCTCAGTGCCAGACCAAACTAAGTAAATATTTATAATCTTAATTATTCACATTTTTATCTAAAAGGAAGTAGTGGGTTTCTTTAAATTATTTGATATGGATAATTATGTTTTCTTCTTTTATCTGGTTTATGTAAAAAATAAAAATTCTTATTTCTTGCCATTATTCCTTATGGAATATTTAAAGTGTATATTTTTCAGCATAATATTTTTGAAGATTTAAAAACCAATATAGTAACTATCTTGGCCTGATCAAAGGTGTCTACACCTTTATCCATTAAAATTTGATGTTATCAGTTGTGGACTAAGGTATATAATAATTTTAGCAAAATAGTTTTATTAAAAGGCTTACTGCTATGTTCTGAGTAAATTTTGTAATTAAGATTTTATATATTCGTTCCCAGTAACCCTGAAAAGCACTTAAGTTTTAAAAAGTATTTTCAGATATATAAATTCATATTTTTTTTTATTTTAAATGTATTTATTTCTGATTGTAGTGTATCAAAAAAAGTCTAGCCTATGCAAAGAACAAAGGGGAACTGGGTTTTCCAAGAATCAGGTATTCTATTTTTATTTATTTTGTGATTTTTCTCTTTGTAATTTTTAGTTATTTGTATAAAGACACAATTTTCCAATTTCTCTTGTCAAAAATCATGTTATAAATTTCATTAATTTAAATTTACTGTGAGAAATTTTGACTTTCAAAGTTGTATTGTTACCACACAGTAACAATTTCTTTTTATAATGTTGCCATGAACAATATACCTGGTTATTTAATTATGAGTATTTATACTATTTCTGAGAATTTACAGTGTTTGCACAGTTATTTGCTATTTATCTAAAGTGAAAGCTTTTATAAAATAAACCATTTTAGCTGTTGGGAATTTTAAACATTGATTCAGGTTGAACAAAATATTCCAGTGCATTTTTATCATATACTAGCTGAATTACTCATGCCTTGCTGTGTGTCACACATGTTTTTTGTAAGAAAATGATGATTGATTTTAAAATATTGTTATAATTTGTGGAAAAAAATATGATGCATTTCAATATTAATGATCTTGCTGATGTGACCTCTATCTTCTGGCTTTCTCCTTCTATATATTGGATAGGAGTCATTCCCTTATTCAAATTTAAATTTAATTTATCTGAAAGGGAAATTTTCAGTGGTGGGGGGTTGTGCAAAAACAGCTTGATCTGACCCCTTTCGTATGTATTTAATGCAATACTTGATTGAATGAAATGATGAGCAGATTTCGACATTGATATGACAGTTGAATTGTAGCAACAGATATGTATTGCAAGGCACTACCTACTGTTTGGTGATTTTTTTTTGCTCAACTTGACGTCTATATTGTTTCATTTTGATCTTGCCGATGTGACCTCCATCCTCTGATTTTATCCTTCTGTATTTTGGATAGGATTCATTTCTTTGTTCATATTTAAATTTAATTTAAATCAAAGGGAAAAAAAAATTCAGTGTGTGTGTGTATAGGTGGGGTATGCCCCTCAGGGACCCCCCTTTGATCAATATGAAATATACTTATCCAAGTACTCTGGGTAATGTAGTTTCAGAATATATATGAGTATGGTCTGTCTTCAAAACCCTAGGAGGAGTTCAATAACAGGCAGACAGAGGCTACGACTTAATATATATATATTAGAAGAATACTAAAGTTGTTTCTTTTGTAGAAAAAAGTCAACTTGATATTTTGTATTTTCATATTTGTTTAAATGGAAAAATAGTTCTCTTTTTTTTTTGTTGTTTCTTTGATTACAAAAGAATTTCACTGTTAGATGTTTCTTACCAATTTTATTTATTTTATTTATTACCTCTATTATTTTTTTAATTTTACATTAGATAAATTATTAAAAATAGACTGAAGTAAATTCTGTCAAATTGTTTGACTTCTAATATTCTATAATAAACTCTGTCCCCAATTCTGTTACAGCTACACTGTTTGGAGGCATATTGCTTGCAACAAAATCCATCTTCCTGAAGATTTGGCTTGGCTGTAAGTTTTTTTTTTTTAATTTAAGCTATGGATTAAATAGTAGGACTTGTATCTGGAAAAATCATTGATTTTTCAAAAAAATTAAGGCAATATTCACTTGCAAAAAAAAAAAAAAGAATTATTCTTACAATCTAAAATATGTTTCAGCTTTTTAAGTAATACACAAAGAGTTGTTAAGCTGTAAAAACCAATCAATCCCTATTTAAAAATAGAGCTCTAAAAAATTAGTTTCATTAAAAAGAATACTAAAATTCATTAAATTACTACACTCCAATTGTTTATGCAGAAAAAAGTGTTTTAATAAACTTTGTGTCTTGCTTTTTTGTAATTAGCTTCTCAATAAGTTTATATTTCTTTCACATTTTGTAAACTTTTATTTTTTAATTTTTTTCCAGCTATTTTTCCACCTGCCATTTGTTATCAGAAAATACTAGTCCTGCTGAAAGAATAGAATGGAGCCAGTGCTTTGCAAAATGTAAAACAAGCCAAGATAAAGGTCAATTAGTAACTTTTTATGAAAAAATCTTTTATTATACTTTCTTTTTAAAAATGTTGTCTATCAGTTTTAAAATAAAGTAATTCCAGAAAACATAATTGATATTAAAAAATAACAAATGTACTCGAGTTTTGGTAATATATTGAGAATGATAAAAATAAATATCAAATTAAAAATATCCGACACTTTTTACTTTTAGGTATCTTCTTTTTTTATTATTATAGTCATGTTTTATACATCATAGTTTTTTTTACATTTTCTTTTACCCAATTTCTCAAAGTTATTTTTTCAGGAATAAACTAATTTCAAACAACAGTATCCATATTAATTTTATATGAATAAAGCATTTTAAGTGATTAAATACAAGCCAGAAATGTAACATTTTTAAAAGGTAACAGGAATTATATGATTGACATTTGGAATTTTTAAAAATATTTGATTTTTAGATTTTTCATTACGAATTAAAATTTGATTTTATTGCCAACTCTTTGCTATTTGTGATGATACTCCATTTAACCTTTAGAAAACGTGAGTTTTTCTCAAAATAACAAGTATGAAGATTTACGTTAATATGCATTTGTCTCTTGAGTTTTCAATGTATTTAACATTTTTTAAAGAGTTACTATTTGATAGCTGTCAAATATAATTTACTGAATATGACATTACATTGAAAGAGAACATATATGATTTCATATTTGGATAAAATTCAGGAAATTACAACTGAAAACAAAAAGCATGAAAAATGTTAGAAATTACATTTTTCTTTATCTTCCTTATTTTTAACAATGAATTTGCTCTATTTTATGGTTATTGAATACATTGAGCTGCATTGAATAAATTGATGTTTATTTTATATAACCTGATATTCATAATTATTGTAATTTTTATTTCAGAAAGCCTCAAAAACCATTTGACTGTGAACACCTACAAGTTTGTACTTTACCTGTATATTCAACAATTCAACAAGGTCTCTTTGAAAGCTTCTTTAGTAGCTGGAGATGGGTATCCTTTGATTTAACAATCCAATTCTTATTGTAAATTTTAAAATCATATGATCACAAACTTATAAGAACTAATAGTGCAATTTGGAGAAACAAAATCTAAAGGTAAAGCCTTGGCATATTTTTAAAAAAATATAACTAAATGTTTAGATATCAGAAAATTCTGTTACCAAATTGAATGTTTTTTTACCTTAGTTCTTTTATCAAGATGGCCCACAAGTTCAGCTTACCATGATTCTGACAGCAAAGTCAACAGGCGACTTAAGGTAAGAAAAAATTTTCTGATATCAGTTCACAACTTCAAAGTTTGAGTATTAATACTTTCTTTTTATTATTTTTTAAGAAATTTGATAACTTTGGTTTGTCGGTAAGATAATCCAAAATATTATTATTAGATCTTTATTAAGTTGATCAAATTAATGATTTTAGATTTTATAGCATACAACATACACTTTTTAACTTAAAATGATAGCTAGAAAATATGTGCATCACTATTAAAATTTTAATATCTGTTTAACGTATGTAAAATTGTTTATTTTTTTTACTCTTATAACTGCATATCATCCCAGGTATGTATATTTAAAATGTTTACAGTTCATTTCAATAATGTATAATCTTTGTTTTTGTATGTATGAGTATATAAATACATGTTTTTAGAGAATTCTATTTTAATTCATCAAAATGAATTGAACTTAAAATTAATTAATTTTATCATTTCTTTCTTTTAGGCAATGGATGAACACAGTCATTTAGGATTTGTTCAAAGCCATTTGATGGAAATGTTAGAACTTTTGATTGATCCAGGTTTGCATTTCTCTTCTGATTTAAAATTTCTTATTGTTTTGTTTTCATTGCTCATAAATCAATCTAAAAGACTCCTGCTTTTTAAATCATTAAAGGGAAATCTATTGATAAAATTCTAAAACAAAATAAAAAAATAATAATATATTATTAATTTCAATGTTATAGCAACTTTAAGTGAAATCTGTTACCATAAAAACAAAATATCTCGTTATCTTAACTTTCCTGTCGGCAAGGCCTAATCACTGACTGCAACACCTGGTAAGGGGTAAGAACATCTCAAGGGGCCAGCTTTCTTTAGACATTTGTGAACTCAAACATAAACATAACCATTGTTTATCTACAGACTCAAATATTATTAAAAAAAAAAAAAAAAAAAGGATCTCAACATTGAATGACTAAGCAGGGATTGATGTGTTGTAAAATCCAAAATAGAAATAGATGTGGTCTTGGAGCATTACTGATAAATATATAGTCACATTGTGTTTTATATTCTAGGATAAATTATGTATCCTCACAGTAAATTTTACATACTACTGTTTTTGCACTGTTTAGAAAACCGAACAGCAGCAGCTGCCACTATCAGCAGCAGCAGCAGCCCATGCCTTGGCCGAGATCTTCAGGTCAGCCATGACATCTTGACAGCTTTGGGTTTTTTGATATCAGCTTCTGCTGATAAATGTAGGTAAGTAAAAAAATAAAATGGAATATATGAGAATATACTGTGCTATTTGCTGCTAAAAGTTAAAAAAAAATATTTTTTGAAGTTCTTAAAAGTGATTATAAGATATACCTGGAATATTTTTGGGTACAATTTGAATGAAACTTTCTAAACTTTTATGTTTAGAAGTGAAAGATAAGTTGCCTAACATCAAATATTTTTCTTAATCATTATTATCACTGTTTATCACAAGGAATGGCTATCACCAAAATTGTTAATTTTCCATTACAATTTAAAATGTCTTTCAGTGCATTCTAATTTGATATTTACTTTTATTGTTATTAAGTAGATTTTATATTTACTATATATGTATTATAATGGATGACTGATGATTTATCATTCTCAGAAAATGGTAGTTCTTTAGAATATCTAGAAATTCTAGTTGAAGCCTGTTTTTTCTGCTGTCATTATTAACTACTTATTTCTCTATACTTTGTTTTCTAGTGATAACTACAATTTTTCTCCTCATTCCAATTTATTGTACTCATGAATTATATCAACATACTGCTGTAAATAAGCATCAAGAATCATTTTTAGTTTGTTGGTTTGATAAGACTGCAAATGGTTAGGCCAAGAACTTTTTAGCACCCTTTGTGTGTGTGTGTGTATATATATATATATATATATATACACACACACACATATATATATATATATATATATATATATATATATATATATATATATATATAAGAAAGATTGTGTCTGTCTGTATGTTTGTTTGTGCAACAACCGAGTGTACATTTTTTTTAATAACAACTCCTTTTACCCACTCCTTTCAAATTCGGCCAAGCTGAAGAAAAGACAGAAAGAAATTCATTTGCTTTAGTTAAAAGAAAACTTTAAGTTCAAAGAAAATGACTGATGAGCTAAAGAAAAGGACAAAACAAATTTGGAGCTTATATGAAATTTTCTTTCTTGAAAACGTGTATATATAAGACAGAGATTGTGTATGTATGTTTGTATGACTGAGCACATCTTTTTATAAAGAAAAATTGGTGGAGAACATTAAGGAAAATAGCCAAGATGAAGTAACACAATATCAAATGGGCAGATACATAAGTATTAATGAATGGGCAGATACATCAGTAATGATGAGGCATTTTGGTACATGTTTGGCTTCCCATTACATGGAAGACACTCGGATATTGGAAAATGGTCAACGTGTATCTACTTCACTGAAGCAAATGCTGTTCAGCTAGTACACACATACCCAATGATACTAAACTCACAGCTTTCTTCAAACTGTGCTAAAATGATCCTTTTTTTCCTGGGCAATCTTGTACTTCCATGTGCCATCTTATTGGAAAGGTAAAATGGAATGGGTGTCTAGATTGATAGGTCAAGATGTACCAGAGCAACCTGGCATTAAGTTTGATGAGTGCCTAGGTAGAGTGTACACTGCACATTCCTGCCAAAATAAATGCTTTTAAGTTCATCTCCTTCTTCATGAAGTTCAAGCCAAAGATTCTTCTTGAATCTTAAAAATGTAAATGAACTGGTTTGTATGACCTACTGAGAAGTATGCTTAATTCAAGATTAGCTTCAAGATTATGCCAAGTGGGATGCAACAATGACTGAGACTGTGTCACAATCCCCTGTGTGGTTTTCTCTTTGTAATCCTATTGCAAACATGCAAAGTAAGTGATCCTGTCTCTTTGTGGCATAAGTATAAGGATAGCTTATTTGAAGACTTTAAGCACCAAGCCCAACTCCAATTTCCAGGTATGGAAATAGATTTTGGTGATTAAATTTACAACAGGGCATTAATCGTTATAGAAAACTGTCATTTCTCTTGGAGGGAATGTGTCACCAACATATGGGTTGCCCAAAACTCCTTGAACATGGTCCAATGTCTTACCCAAAGAGGTGATGAGAGAAACATCCTATGACATCAATGCTCTGTTGATCAAAATGAGAGAAGGTTGCATCTAGACCAAAGGAGAGCTTATGACACTGTTGTTGACAGTGTCTGCTTGTAGATACTCCTGGAGGGACAGGAAAGATATTTGTTACTAAAGTAATTCAACCAAAGTTCAACAACACAAGGACATTGCTTTGGCAGTGGCCTTATCTGGTATTGCTGCAACTTTACTGCTTGGTGGTCGAAATTTACATTCAACTTTTAAGCTTCCATTTGACTTGACTTCACCCGATAATCCATTTTGCAGCATCAGCAAAGCCTCTGAATTGGTCTACGTGATAAAAAGGTGCAGCTCTGGAAGCATTGGACTAACCCATGAGAGACATTAGGGATTGTCAGTCACATATGGGGGAGGTGTAACATTCCTACTATCTGGGGGGTGTGTGTGTGTGTGTGTGTGTGTATATATATATATATATATATAGAGAGAGAGAGAGGAAGTAGAACTGCTGTTTTGGTCAGATTTTAAGAAATGAATTGGGCATATAATATTTTACACACACACAAGAGGGAGTGTTGAAAATCATTATTTTGATGTTTGGTCATTGAAATAAAGAATTTTGACAAATGGGTCAGGTCATGAATTTTTTTAGCACCTTCTCAGAAACTCTCATGCATCTTCTGGTTTATTGAACAACTATATATATATATATATATATATATATATATATATATATATATATATATTTTTTTTATCTTTGATGCTTGAATAATGTATACATTGATTGATTCAGTATAATTTTGTCTGTGCTTGCATGTGTAAAGATGAATCAATAAAATTAATTCCAAGGTAAGATTTGTGCTCCCAGCTATACTGAATGACACACTGGCAGTTTGTGTCTCTAAGGCAGGGCCAAGTAAATATTGACTAAGTTAATCAGGTTACAATTAAATTTGACTTCCAAATTTAAATATGTCTCTTCATCCAATTATGTATTTATTTTTCAATTTAAAGAATTACTATTTTTTTTTCCATTAATAATCTAATATGGAAAAATTTGCTTCCATTTCCTTATATTAGAATTTCATTCTTTATAAATATTTTTTCTTATAGAACCACAATTGGACTTGCTGAGTTATTGCAGTTGCCTGGTGTCAAATCAAAAATCTGTTATTCAAAGGTAGGAAATATTTTTCATAACTCTTACATAATAGGACATGATAATTAATGTTGACATTATTATTGTGTATTTGTATTGAAGGTATTTTTAGATTTTTTAAGTGCTAACTGATACATAAATTGTTTTTATTTTTTGGGGCCTTGATTCCATACTAGTTTGTTTCATGTTTGCAAATGAATGGGTACTGAACAAATTGTTCAAATTTCAAATCTAAATTATCTATTTAAAAAATAATATTTATTAGAAAATATATTAAATACAGTCTGAGTCATAAAAATGAATTCAAAGAGCCACACATTACAGCTTATACTCTTTTCCTGATACCCAGGGGTTGTTACCAGACAGAAAAGGAAATTAACCATCACAACTTTATTTCATTCAAATTGTGTGTGTATGTAAGTTTGCACGTGTGCATGTATATTTTAATTCCATGAAATTAGTTGTAACATTTTTACCTGAATTCATTTTTGTGGCCTTTTAATGTTTTAAATGTTTAGCTGAGATAGGGTTGAGTTCCATCAGGCTGTCTTGCGCAAGACATACCACTGCTGCTATGGCTGCATTAGATGTGGTGCCCTTATGACTCCTAAGGGGTTATGGGATTCAAGATTGAGAATGTTTTAAAATGTTTAACTTAAATTCACTTTATCATAAGTAATAAACTAGACATTTACTTTGTGACTGTTATTGATAAATGATAGATATGAATAGATTGATATTTACAGATAGAAACAATGAAATAATCATCAATAAGATACTAAAACTCTCTCACTAGGTAAGAGAAAAAAAAGTTGATTATTTTTTGTTTTTTTTTTTATTTCACAGCCATACACTCATGATAGCAAAGAGACATTCAAATTTTGTATGTTGTTTGCACATACAAATGTATATTTTAATTCATTTCAAACCTAAAAATATTTTTACAAAATGAAATAAAAATTTTAAACTAATTTTTTTATTACCAAATAATGTTTTTTTCACTGAGAAATTAGTTGTCATACTTCACTAGTGGCAAGATGATCTAATTTAAAATCTAAATTGTTTGTCCATTTAAAATACTACATTTATTAGAAGATATATTCAGTTTAAATACAGAATGAAGAGAAAAAAAGGTCATGTAAAAAAAAAAAAAGTCCCAAATAAAAAGTTGTAATAGATTTAAAGTAATTTGTATATTATTTTTTTTTAAATTTTAGCACTACAATTTCCAGTCACCTAAATACAAATAGTCTTTAAAAGAATTAGAAAGTAATTAACTTCATTGACTTAAATAACTTCTCTATAAATATCTCAACTCTAGATTCTGTTTTCATTTTTATGATGTGACCTTCTGGCTGTTGTGCTAAAATCTTTGATTTGCAAATATTCTCAAATTTACTTCATAATCCACTCTGCTGATAGCAACATAATTATCCATGCATGAACACTGGAATAAGAAGGTAAAATCCACATTTATTCAAACTTTGTTGTTGACTTTTTTTTTTACTGACATAACAAAGGCAGGACTGATGGAAAATTTCTTTTTGAGTGAATGGTAAATCAGTCTACAAAGATTGAAGAGAAATCAAGGAATCATTAACATTCATCCAGCATCAATGGGATCAACTATTTTGATGGTCAGTAAAGTCAACACAAACAACCAAAATCTTCCTGTTAGAAAGAACGAAACCCCAATAGCATCTGGGAAAGTTGTGTACACATTAAACCTATTTGAGATCACCTAGTTCTAGCAACAAGTTCATATAATGTTTGAACCAATTAAAAACAGCAATTAAGAACTCTCATATTTGTCTGGAAGATCTTATCATGTATGCTTCAATTTGCAAAGATCACTGAGCTCTGAGGGCTCCCAGAAGAATTTGCCAAAAATCTTACCAATAACTAATAATTTTCCTCCAAGACGTTTCTCATTGTTCAAAGTGTGATAAACACAGATGAAGGAAGGTAACTAAGGAAATATATATGTAGGCATCATCTTTTCTTCATCTTGTTTCCCCCTCCTTTATCTTTAAAAACATTAATCTGTATAATAAACTCTATCATCTGAAATGCTTAAGTATTTATTGACAAGCAATTTATCATAGAGATTTGAATTACCTATTTGATTTCAGATTGAACTGTCATCTCTTTTCTGCTTTGAAAATTCTTTATACTTTGTTTTATCTATGCTTTATAACTCTATCCATTTCTTTAATATTGCTTCTGTTCTATTTGTTATTTTGCATCAGTTCTCAGCTTGGTATCTATACTGATGACACAACTATTTCCTCTTAAGTCTGATCAGTTCAATAAGATCAAATTGGTAGCTGATCTCAAAAATGACCTACAATCTGTTGTTAACTAGGGTAAGGAATGGCTTTTTAATTTTAACACCTTCAAAAACAGAACTACTCTCTATAAATCATCTGAGAGAACCCTTTCTGCATGGCTGTTGCTAACCTTCAAGAGCGTAACTTATTGTGCCTTTCCAGGCTAAGATTGTATTGAATCAATTGATAGGTCTGCTGCTTGGAAAGTTGGTTCACTGTGTCATGCTAGACAATTTTTCTTGCCTGAATCTATCTTACATATTTATAAGTCTAGCATTCATCCATGCTTTGAATATTGCTGCCACATCTGGTCTGTTGCTCTTGCTATATATTTAGAAATGCTCAGTAAACTCCAAAGAAAGGTCTGCATGTTATTGATCCTCATCTGGTATCTCAGCTTCAGTTGCTTTCCCACTGCTGTGACTTTTCTATAAATATTTTCATGGTAATTTTTCTGATGAACTTTTTTCTATGGTACCTAGACTTTATGAATTTAAGCACAGTACTAGATTGGTAGCAAGTTCTCATTTTGGTTAGATGCAACCATAAGTTCTATGTTAATAGCTTCTTTTCTCATATTTCTGGCTAATGGAACTCTTTTCTGGCTTTATACTTTCCAGTCAAGTTTGATCTTCAAATATTTAAATGCAATGTCAATCATTACCTTGTGTTCTTGTGGCGGACATGAGACAGAACCTGGGACGAGCACAACTGGTCGTGACTTGCCTTGTCCCCGCCAAAAAAGAGCCCGTATTTGCTTAGCATGTAAAGCTACTGCAGTTGAAATGAGGGAGAGAAAAAAGCACTTACCACTCTGCCGTAATCCATCCTCGACCAGATAACATAAAAGAATGAGGGGGGACTGGCATTGCATTTTTATGCAATAAAGATGCAATGCATTATGGGACATGGACGCAATGAATTATGGGATCACATGAAGACGCAAGGGATTATGGGTATATGAACAACCATAAAAGCAACTACTTTTTTCCAAGTTGGGGAGTTCTTCGAGTGACGGGTGTTGTTTTGAACGACCAGGGTTGGACTGGTTTTTTGACTTCTGTTTTGTTTGCTTTTGGGATTTTTTTTTTTTTTTTTTTTTTTGTGTACTGCTGGTCAGCGAAAAATTTGATTTACTTGACGACTTGGAAGAACCTTTTTTTTGAAACACCGGACGTTTGCCTGATAAGTTATTGTTTTAGTTTCATTCATTTTAATTTTTTCTATTTCTTTTGTTTGTTTTTAATTTGTTTTTGGGCTTCGGCCCACATTTTTTCTTTTTTTAGTCCGGTTTGACAAAGTCTTACCGGACGACTGCTTTTTTATTTTTGTTTATTTTTCTATCAGTTAAAAAAAAAAGCGGAACAGTTTAGACAAAAGAAAAAAGAAAAGAACCTTTTGTTTAATTTTTATTTTTTTAGCGACTTCAGTCGCTTTTTTTCCTTTTTTGTTTACGTTTGACTAGTTTATTTTTCTTTTAATTCATTTTCTTTAGCGGCGTCAGCCGCAAAACTTTATCCTTTTTATTCTTTTTTTTTTAGTACATTTGAAAGTTTTTGTGAAAAAAGAGGGAAGTTTTTGGTTTTTCTTTTATTTTCGGCTGCCTTCGGGCACCATTTTTTATCTTTTTTTGTTTGTTTAAAAAAGACTTACCTGTTTATTTTCTTTCCGTTTTTTTTTTTTTTCTGTTTATCTTTTTTTATTTCCTGGGTTATCCAGGCTTTTTTATTTATTTTATATTTTATTTCCCAACAACCCTCCCCGTGATTGTGAAGAATTTGAAAACCCGCAGGTGGTAGTTTCCACATTTTTTTACAACATGGCCGACGGCAATAGTCAGGCCAATGTGAAAAAGACCTGTTTGGTTCGCAAATAAAGCCGACCACTCTGAGAAGAAAACTGAAAAGCGGGCTGATGGAAGCCCAAAAACAGACAAGAGCATCTCCAAAAAGTTTAGAAACTAGACCAAGTGCCTAAAGAGACGCAAAATAAGACGAAAGAGGAGTTGCCCTCTTGCTGGAAGACCCCTAGTTGTATTCTGAACATGGCGGATTTCCTGGATAATGAAAGTTACGCCCATCTTGTTAATAAAGATGGGTTCGTCGATGATGTCCGAGAACTCGATATGTTCTCAAAGAGAATGGTGACTGTTTTGTGGTCGACAAAAAAACCCAAAGATTTGTCGCTCCACAAAAGACACTGTGATCAAATCACTTTTGTCCCTGGGGATAAAACCCCAAAGAGTTATTAAGGGTACGGGTTTTTTCATGTGGGACATTCTGCTGCCCACACCGGAAGATTGCCTGGCCATGGCCAAAAAGAATTAATCACGAAGGATTTTATAATAAGAACCGAATATGAAGGCCGCAGGCGGACCAGGGTGGCGTTTTGAGGTTCCTCCTCAAATTTCGGGAGAGCTCTTGGCTGCATTTTTTTATGCAATACGGCCAAATTTTAGGGCTCTCTCCGACAATTTGAACGGGTATGGACTTTCGATATTATGCTTGACCAGAACGCCTTCAAGTCCGTCCCCAACTGTTTGGTGTTAGGTGACCAGAAAATGCCGGTCATAGTGACTGGTAGGCGTCCGACTTGCTGGAGGTGTGGAGAGACTGGTCACCTTTCCTCCTCCTGCCCAGGGAAGAAGGCCCCTGGAGTTCCGGTCGCAGGTGACCAAAATCCCCCCTTGGC